CCCCAAAACCCCAAAACCCCAAAACCCCTTCAGAATATATTGTAATTGAATTTGGTAACACTTAATTTTTCATAAAAATGAACAACAGTTTAAACATGCAATCAAAGGAATTCCAAGATGATTATAAGAACGCAGCTTGGTTCCAAGGTACAACTCTTTTTTGACTTTATTCTCCTTCTTCCTTGCTAATTTTTGTACTGTTTTAAACCTCTCTCATAAATTTACTACTTGTTCCTACTAAATCTGCTATTTTTAAATCTGTAAGCATCAATGTCTAAATCTGTACTTCCAGTGATTTCTCACTATCTCTTTAGCATCGTCGGCTAACTTATTATAGACTTGTTTTACAGCTGGGCGACAAATTTAATCATGTTTGCCCATAAAAATAATGGACTTGAAAGAGTAGACCAATGCATCCAGATGACTGACAAAGACTCTTCAGCAAATCTTTGTGAGAGAATGACAACGAATTTAGAGGAAATGAAAGGCAACAGAAATCTTAGTTTTAGATGGAGTATTATCAAGCTGATCATTAAAACTCTGAAATGGGATGTATTCAAAACACTACTTTATGGAATAGCTGCTGAAATGTTACAAGTGGGAAACCTCTTCTTAATTTCTTTTTACATTGCCTGGATTCAGGATTCTGATAGAGAGAACTGGATTGGGTTCTTGCTGAGCTTAATTATTTCGATAAATGCCTTTGCAGCTTTATCAATCCGTCACAAGTTCTTATTTTATTCAATCAATACAGGTGTAAATATAAGAAAGTCTATCTCAGCTTTGATTTTCAAAAAAGTACTCAAATTCAATCAGAAAGCATTAGCAAAGGCATCCACAGGAAAGATTGTTACTATTGTCAGTGGAGAGATTCAAATCATTGAGCAAGCGGTCACTTTGATTCCATATATAATCATTGCTCCATTTAGTGCTATCTTGGCTTTCTCTCTGATAGCCATCGACTTTGGAGAAGCTGCTGCTATCGGCTTTGTGTTGTTCATTCTGATGATTGTCAGTCAGGCTTTGATTTCAAAGGCAACTGTGGAGTGGAAATATTTAGAAGGAGTCTACTCAGACAAACGCCTGAAAGTTATTGCAGATATTATCAATGGGATCAGAACTATCAAGTGATATGCATGGGAGGTCCCATTCAAAAACCTTGTTTACAAGTGGAGAAAGAGTCAGCTCAGCATGCTTATTAAGAATCACATCATCAATGCCATTGGATCTGGAGTGTTTCTGAGTGGAGGGTTTGCAATCGCACTTGTGATATTTTCGTATCATTGGGGAATGGACAGAGAGTTTTCATATGAGAGATCTCTTTCAACAATTGCCTTGCTAAGCTATTTGTCTTTGTCAGCGATTTTTTTCTCTTACAATGCTATATCCAACTTTGCAACCTTCATGGCAGTCATGTTTAGGGTTGGAGAAATTTTAGAAATGGATGAGTTCGACTACGATTCTGCTCAAGACGACAAGTCTCTTCCTGAAGGAGTCAGAATCAGGTTGCAAGACGCTTCATTCACTTGGGGGTTCCACATTCGAAAAACCGACAACAAAGACGAATCTAAAAATCAAGACATAGAGCATGAAGACATAAACTTACATTTACTCAGCCTTGAAGCATCTGATGGCCAACTTATTTGTATTGTCGGAGCTGTTGGTTCTGGAAAATCTTCTTTGTTGCATTCATGAATGCATGAGCTCAAACTCAAAGGCGGACACATCTCAACAAACGGAACGAAAGCTTATGTTGAGCAAGAACCATTCATCATGTCAGGCACTGTCAAAGATAACATTCTTATGGGAGACCAGTTTGACTCTGAGAGGTTTGATAAAGTCATTGAAGCATGCTGACTCGATCACGACATTGCCAATTTTCAAAGTGGTGTTGATACCGAGATTGGTGAGAGAGGGATTACTATCAGTGGAGGACAAAAAGCAAGGATCAGTCTTGCCAGAGCTGTCTACTCAGATGCTGACCCGCTAAGTGCTGTTGATCCTGATGTGGCTACCAAGATATTTCAAAAGTGTATCAATAAATATCTCAAAGATAAGTGCAGAATCTTGGTCACTCATCAAGTTCAGCATCTGAAAGATGAAAAAGATATCTGTGTTATCGAAGCCAATACCATCAAGTATCAAGGCTCATACAGTGAGTTGAAAGACCAAGGAATCGACTTCGACTCCATTCTCAAAAAGTATGAAGACAAAGATCATAAAGAAGAAAGCAAAGCAGATCATATGATAGATGTTGATGCCATTATTGGAGATGAGCGAGAAACTGGAAATCAAAGTTCTGAGTCAGATGAAGAAGAGTCTGTTGATGACAAACAAGACAAGGGGTTGCATCTTCCAAATATCCACACAACAAATGTAAATGGTTTGAATACAGAGGATGCTAATGAAGAAAATGAAAAGAAGTATTCAAGTCAGACTATGGATTTGAATGAAACAAAAAAACATCTTTCTCATCAAGCAATTAAAAATGGTAAATCCGCCTTAATAAGTAAATCTACTATTAAACAGCTCTAGGCTCCATCTCAATTATCAGCTTTGTATAAATTTGAATTTTTTGCTCCTTAGGCAAGAAAATACAATATCAAATTATTTCTTTTGCACCTTTTCTTTCTTTTCTTAGCCATTAAATTCAATATTCAATCTCAAACATAGAAGAAAAGAAGAAAGGAGTCAGCCAGAATGAAATTAAGATCAAGGGAAATGTCAAACTAAGGGAGTTATTTAGCTTCTCAAGATATGGCATTGGCATTATTGGAGTTATTCTGAGCATTATCCTCACAATAATTAGCTCTTTCTGTTTTGTATCAATCAACCTTACAGTTGGTCAATGGACCAGTGATGACCAGGGTGATAAGTCATTATGGTATTCACTATTTATTATGTCTGTCTGTTTGTACATTCTTGCCAGCTTTCTAAGAGGACTGGTAGTAGCAGCCACATGCTTGAGTTCTTCATATAAATTGCACTCAAAAATGGTTTGGAAGTTACTCAGAGCCAAGATAGTACTATTTGATAGCAATCCTATTGGAACTATACTTACTAGATTTACGAAGGACTTATCTATTACAGATTTCTTGTTACCAAAAATGACAAACTATTTGTTAATTACATTTGCTAAGTGCTGCATCCTGATAGTATTCATTATTGTTGTTGTTCCATGGAATTTGGTGATCTTGCTCTTTGTGTTGATTCCAATGTATATGATTCGTAGGTGGTCAATTACTGCTCAAAATGATGCTAAGAGACTTGATGCAATGAGCAAAGGTCCATTGAATACTAAATATTCATCAGCTCTGGATGGGATTACAAGCATAAGAGCATATAAGAGAGGTGAATATTTTATCCACCGCTTCTTGAAAGATTCAGATTCGAATGCTAGCGCAAAGTTTACTCATGCTTCTATATTAAGATGGGCAGGAATTAGAGTTGATCTTTGTGCTTGTCTGTTTATTGCATGAAATTTGTTGATAGTCTCAATTCTGATTGCTTTCTTCGATGTTATTGACACAAAACTAGCCGCACTTACGGTCCAGTTCTCCCTTGAATTTTCTGTAAATGCAACAGTAGCAATTAGATCCTATGGTGAATTAGAAAATATGCTAACAAGTGCTCAGAGAATGATGGAATATGCAAATATGGAATCAGAAGATGAACTTACCAAACAAAATGATCCAAAAGATTTCCCCGAAACTGCTGATGTATCCTTTAAAGATGTACATATGAGATATCAAACTCATTTACCACAAGTGCTCAAGGGCTTATCTTTTAATGTTAATGAAGGACGCAAAGTAGGAATAATTGGAAGAACTGGATCTGGTAAAAGCTCAATTTTACAGACAATCTTTAGGCTTGTTGAAACCGAACCAGGCTCACAAATCATTATTGGAGGCGAAGATATCAAAGATATTGGGCTTCATTGCCTTCGTAACGCAATTTCTTTCATCCCTCAGTCTCCTTTTTTAATTTCATCTACAATCAGAGCCAACCTTGATCCTTTCGAAGTGTACTCTGATGAGCAGGTCTGGAGAGTTCTTGAAGAAGTCCAACTCAAAAACTATGTTCAAAGTTTGAATGATGGGCTGGCTACAGAAGTTACAGACCAGAATATATTCTCTGTTGGCCAGAAACAGTTGATTTGTTTAGCCAGAGCCATTCTTCGTAAAACCAAGATCTTAGTACTTGACGAAGCAACAGCCAATGTAGACATTGAGACAGACTCGCTAATCCAGAGAGCAATCAGAGAGAAGTTCAAAGACTGCACAGTACTAACAATCGCCCACAGAATAGCCACAATCAGTGATTCAGATCAAATCCTCGTTATGAATGACGGAAAAGTACTAAAAGAGGGAAGTCCAGACAAAGTGTTTGCCCTGTTGCATAAATAGATTATCTCACATCCCATCTCTATCCAAAATCACCCCAATGGGGTTTTGGGGTTTTGGGGTTTTGGGGTTTTGGGG